AATTCGAAATCTTTCGAACCTTTCGACCCGCTTGATTCGATCATCGAAACTTCGGTTCGAAAAAAGTTCGCGGCATCCCTAGTATCAGAGCCACTTTTTCAAAGCAAGCTCTATGACAGCTTCTCAACTGAATTGTTCAAGTAACGTTGCCCCAAGTATGGGTCGCCATGTTTGAGGCAAAGAGTTATTACAATAAACACTTTTATTGTAATGTTGTTTGTTTGTTTGTTTATTATGGGGTGTCGGGAAAGGGGGAAACCAGGAGATGTGTGGGCCTCAATTAATGGGCGAGTCGCTACCTGGTTGTTGGGGAAAAAGGATAGAAAGAAGGAAGATGAAAATTAGATACAAAAAAAAAGAGGAGCTAAAAGGTCAACTTTTTACAACTAATCTAGTTTTAAATTTCCGCCCAGTTAGTTATCAACATAGTTCAGAGCCTTTGGTTAGGGAGCGAAGTGGAAGCAAATCACAATCTATCCGCCAGCCCAGTGTCACGAAGCAAGCGCAGAAGAGCGCGGAAGGCTTTCTCCGCTGTTGATCTGGTTCCTCTGGGGTTCAAAAGTTCTGTAGTAGTTCCATATGGCAGGCCAGATAGTGTTTAGTGATGGAAAAGAGCTCTTCTGGCCTCTTGATGTGTGGAACAAACCAGAAGGGCATGTTCTGTGTCCTCTGGGTCGCCGCAGGTGGGGCAGTTAGGATCCGCTTTGCGACGCATCATGTGGAGCCGCATGGCAGTGTATGGGCACCCAGCCCGTAGCCTGTGGAGAAGGCTTGTCTCAGCCGTAGGGAGCTTGCGGGGAACCACGGGGGGTGGCCTCCCCGTTGCGACCCCAGGATGTTGATGCCGTTCTGTGAGGATCTCACGGATGACTCGATGAGCCTCGTTGAAGCGATCCAGTAAGAAGGCTGGGACTGGATCGCCATGTGCCTTTGCAGCCAGCTGGTCAGCCCGCTCGTTGCCAGGAATCCCGACGTGAGACGAGATCCATTGCAAAGCAACGCACCATCCCATGTCTTCAACTGCCGCTGCCTCAGACGCGACTCTCGCCAGCAGTGGGGTTGCATTATGAAGTCTCTGAAGCTGCTGAAGAGCACCTCTTGAGTCTGTGAGTACGACAGCTTTTGTTGGTGACGAGGTGTTCTTAATAGACTCAAGAGCAGCCCAGATGGCAACGAGTTCTGCCGTGGTTGACGACGATACAAAATATAGCCTGCCCGATATATCATAGCCCATTTCTGAAATAGTAATCCCTACCGTGGCAGTCCATCTGGTGAGGTTAATTGAGGCGTCTGTATAAACATGAATCCAACCTTCATACACTTCGTCTATGCGCTTAAGAGCAATTGAGCGAGCAACAAACCCTGGGACATTCGCCTTGCGCTGTGGGATTGGGAGCGTTGCATGTATCTCCAGGGGAGGACGCCTGGAATGTGGTGGTTGAGGAAGGATAAATTCGCTAGGAGCTCCAACCTCAAAGTCGAATCGTCTTGCTTGGCGCCCGAGGTGAGAGTTTGGCCGGGTAAAGAGATGTTTACGGATTGTGTCCGCAGAGGGGAGACTGCTCATACGAGCGATGTTGCGCAGCGCTCTCTCTTCTAGTCTCAGACAGCGGCCACTCTTCCGCTGCAACAATTGTAGCCACGTTCTCTGCTGAAGGAGGCGGTCCCAAGCAGCTTCGTAGTGCGGACCGGTGCAAAGTATCGATGTCTCGAATTTGTGCCCTTGCAACAGCCAGTAGTGGTAGTGAATAGAGAAGCCTGGACATGATGAGCCCTTTGTACATTTGGAGTAGTGCACGTTGGGGATGCACCCCAGGAGGAGCCTCCAAGCTGTCTAACGACACGTAGCAGTTCACGGCAACGTTGGAGTCTCTTGCGTACTTCAGGTCTCCATGTCACCCGATCGTCGATAATAACGCCGAGATACGTGTGGACTTTCACCCTTCTAACTGGCGTTCCAGCGAAATTTAGTCGTAGGGCATGCTGTGGTGCTCGGCCTGTGGGTCGGTAAAGGAGTGAGGCAGTCTTTCCCGCAGATAGAGTAAGGCCTAGTTGCGCTATGGCCAGTGCAGTAGAGTCCAGTGCCACCTGGAGTCGATTACGGATCCCTAAGTCGGCAACGGCCAGGCGGCGCCAGCAGGGTGAGAGCCACGGTTACACCCTATCTCGTTTTAACTTGGCAAACGGTGAACGATAAGCCCGTGCCGAAGGCTTCGAAATGCGCGACGTATACGAGCGCAACGCACACATATTGGAGCATGACGCAGCGAAAAGCCTGATACTTCTTCGGAGTTGAGGCGCGCTCCGGTGATACGCAGTCACGTTCCGATTGGCCCGCCAGGGCCGTAGCTTCCGCTCTACTGGCACGTTACGCGATCACGGCTTCCTGGGATACCCAGAATTTCTGGCTTCAGACACTAGGCTCAGCGGCGCCACCAGAGCAATAGCTCACGTTTGAACAGTGCAGCCGCCACTGCCAGGGGTACACAATATTTCTTGCTTCAGTCGCTAGATGGCGCCAAACCAAACAGCATTGCGGGTGGCCTATAGCGTTCCTTGGGGACCCGACACACCACAACGCAACATCATTAGTGTAGATTGCCATGCCTATTCGAAGAGCTCGATTCTTTGCTGGAAGACATCGAGGGAGGACGCTCATGGCAAGATTGAAAAGAAGAGTGCTTAATACACTTTCTTGGGGTACCCCTTGAGCAATATGTCTAGATGTGCTAGTAGCATCTGGCAATTTCACGCTCATGGACCGTCCAGAAAGAAAAGCCTCAAGAAAAGATAAGAGTCTGCCACAAATCCCAAAATGCTTTAGTCGGTGGATGATGGTTGGATGTGGCAATGTATCAAATGCACGACTGATGTCGAGGAACACGCATTTGCCCTGTAGCCTTGGCTTCTTCTAGGGTTGAGGCAAGGTCTCCTATTGCATCCGCAGTGCACCTCTTGGCTCTAAAGCCAGCAAGTTCGTACGAGAAGGCACCCACTCTATCCAAAGGCCAGGTTAGACGTTGAAGAACCATTCGCTCAAGAACTTTTCCCAAGCAACTTTTTAAGGAAACCGGCCTGTAGGATGAGGATTTTTCTATCGGCTTCCCTTGTTTGAGTATGGGAATTACTATCGATTCTTTCCATGCATCCGGAAATGCTCCTGTCCTCCATATGTCGTTGAGCTTTTTTCTGGGTGGTGTATAGGATCCACGTTCCTGAGCGACTGGTAGGTTATGCCATCGGGGCCCGGAGCGCTTTTCTTTCGACAGTGAGGGAGTGCTTGAGTGAGCTCCTTTAGGGTGAAGTCTGAGTAAGTTGCCAACGATGTCTTTGTCTTGAGGTTGACTAACCTGGCTTTGCGGTGGATTTGTCAATCTTTCTTGGTATTGATGTGGTGGAATAGAGCAGCGGGAAAATTCATCCGCTAATAGCTCTGCCACTTCCGTCATGGACATACCAGATTTGATTGCCAACCCTGCAATAAGGTTTCGTGGAACCTTCGCGCCGGAGAGGGCTCGAGCGATCTTCCAAGCGCGCTTGCCTCCACCTGAACCACCAAGCGATGCGCAGTCCTGGCTCCATTGCCACCGCTGAAGTGCCTTGGTGTGTCGCCTGAATTTAGCGTCAATTCGGTTGTAGCGACTCCAGTCCTATGAGGCGTTGGAGTGAAGCGCCCTTCGTTGTGCCGGCCGTCGGGCTGCTCGTAGGTTAAGCCTTTCAAGGTCAGGAGAGGGGCTTGTAACTGGAACTGTGACGGATCGCGTTGAAAGCCGCAGGCACTCCGCAATGCATGTAGTAAGGTCATCATAGTTGCTGCCTACAATGGCAGAAGTGAGGTACTGGCGGAATAGGTCCCAGTTAGTAACTCTGCAGACCTTAAGGTTCTTTGGAGGTGCTCTGGGGTGTGTTAACCTGATGGGAACATGATCGCTCCCTCCAGTGTTCGGTTGGGCTGTCCACAAGGCGACAACTTGTGACGATACCCACGTTATGTCTATTGTGCTGGCGTTAGTTCCACGTCTACAAAATGTCTTCGACCCGTCGTTAAGAGCTCGCAGTTTTAGGGCTGCCGCAGTGTCTTCGAGCTGTCGTCCCCTGGCGTCCGTTCGGGTACCGCCCCAGGATTCATTGTGTGCGTTGAAATCTCCACATATAATAAGCTGTTCTCGGCTACGTTTGTGAATTTCTTTTATCACCTTTGCGTCCCATACGCCATGCGGGGAAATATATGCAGAAATAACCGTTGTAACGTGCCGGCCAATTGCGATTATCACCCCGGCGTATTCTGCAATTTCTGAAGACAAGTCCGAAAGATCAAGGGGGGCATGGTATACATCGTCACGGACCAATACTGCAACTCGCGATCTTCCATCGGTACTTAAGAGTTGCACCGTGATGAAAGACACAGGGAGACAGACGGGCCTCTCTTGGGATCACGTACGTTTCTTGTAGAGCCAGTACATCTCTTCATTCAGTCGCAAGAGTTTGGCGGAGAACGGGCAAACGTGTGCGTAAACCATTTACATTCCACTGAAGGATAGAAGGAAACAATGGGCTACGTCTTTCTCTATGTGGAGTTTTCTGCTGTATTCTTTGTGCACTCTTTCCGGGGTTACTTGTTTGTTGGCAGCGTTGGTCATTCGAGAGTCCTGCTAACATACCCCAAGAAGAGGAATCATAGTTTTCAGAATCGTCGTGACTGCGCGGGCCCATAATGCCTCGATGTTTTTCAATATAGCAAAGGCTATGTTCGCAGCTGCTCTGATTAATGACGTCCATCCAGGGGCTTCGCCAGAAGATGCGCTTTTGTCCTCAGCGTCTCCCTCTTGTGTGGAAGAGCGCAGTCGTGTTTGTGCCGGTTGCTTGGGTGGTTGCTTCGGAGATTCCAATGTAGCCGCTGCGTGCGCACCGTTCCCAGCACTTCCGTGGGCTGCTTCTGTATTAGGAGGCAAGGAATGGGTGCCTCCAGTTACAGACGCGTAGGTAACAGCTCTTGACTTCTAAAGGTGTTTTGCCCGTTTACTCAGTATCTCTGGCTGGGCATCCTCTTCGCCAGACCGAGATGCCTTCTGGCCCTCCAAGGCTGACCTGGCCGCACGAAATCCAATCGAATTGGTCTTGGAGTAAGTGAGTATCTTCCGCTCTTTGATCCACTTCGGGCAGGCATGTGATGTAGCCTCGTGATCTCCCTTGCAGTTGACACATCTCAGTGTCGGTGATTGACACATGGCATCGGTTGCTTCGTGGTGTTCTCCGCATCGCTCGCAAGCCATAGCGCGCGTGCAGGGGACCTTCTTGTGACCAAATCCGCCGCAGTTGTGGCATTGGAGCGGTTTCTCCTTATAAGGCAACACAGGGTGACGAACATACCCCAGCAGAACATAGTTTGGCAGCTGACTGCCTTGAAATGTGATTTTCACAACGCGTGACTTTCCAAGACGTCCGATGTCGGCGATCTTGCTCTCTGAGCGGAGATTATGTTCCAGCTGTTCTTCTGTAGCGTCCATGTCAACGTCCCGGATGACGCCAACTGTCGTGGGCCCAGACAAAGCTAAGTAAGGTCGAACCGGTATACCACATAAGTCCGTGGTTTTCAGAAGCGCCTGTGCAGCTTGTTCGTTCAGAACTTCGACGGCGATCAGGTTGAGACGGTCGTTGTACCGGACCTGACAGGCAGATTCCTGACATATGCCTTTCAGTGCTTCCGTAAGCTTCAGGCTACTGAGAGATGTTAATCTTGTTTCTTGATTAACTGGCACGAAGATTATGGTAAAATCATCAGTTTGTCGCTTTGATGGACGTACCGTTTCCGTGCTTGACCACGAACACGTCCTTTTTGTCATTTTTATGGTGACGAGATTCCATTCCCCAGTAGAGCCTTCGCTGTCCACGTCAACAATCTCCGCGGCGGAGGGCGTCGATGAAGACTGCGAACATGCAGGATCTTTGCAGTCCCGGGCTGGCTCCTGTTCTGACCTGCCTGCTGAACGTTGTCCAGCGGGTATAATGCTGCTTATCTCTGATGTGGACATACCTTAAGCTCGGCGGCGTGCCGCGGCCTGCGGATGCCCTAAATGCTGATATCCACCCAGGAGATCTGGTCCAAAGGACCAGTAAAAAACGTTTCCAACCCAAATTTCTGAAGAGCTTACTGATTACCAGCTGAACGTTAGGAAAGCGACGAAGAGAGAAAGAAACACACTGCTGGACTATCAACCCTTTGTTTTATATACACTTCCTTTTCCTCAACCCAATCCTTAAAAGGGTAGCTTCTTCTTCTTCTTTCAAAGCTTATACTTAAACTTCCTTTTTCTTCTCACGGACCGTGGTGTTCTCCACCTCTTCGACTTTCCCCATCCCAAAAGGGTAGCTTCTACTACTTCAGTCGGAGCTTAGACAGAAACTGCTTTTTTTTCTCACGATCGGTGGAGTTTTTGTCTTCTTCGACTTTTGGATCTTGAAAAATGTCTTTCTTTTTGTCTTTTATATTTCCGGTGGTGTCACCCTCGTTTTTCTCGGTCGGATCTTGGAGTCACAGGGTCCCAACTTGGTTCATCCGAGGTGCCGCTCTCTTCAGATACATTTTTTCTTTGGGCAAGAGCGCAATGGAGGCAACACTGACGCATTCTCCCTCCCCCTCCTCAATGGCCAACGCCTCAAGGAGCTCCCTTCCAAGCTGCTTTCGGTGTTTTGCTAAAACGGTGACGCTTGCGAAATCAGGAGCACATTTGCAGGCCCGACAATGTGCCGAGAGGTGGCCCGCCGACGTTAGTGCGGTCACAGAGGCTGCATGTTCTCTGGTGCGGTCGTTGATGCACCTCCCCGTCTGTCCTATGTAGCTTTTGCCACATGACATAGGGATCTTGTAAACCACTCCTTTTTCGCATGGGGCGTAGGGTGTTCGATGCGCAGTGCTGCAGGTCGTCGTCCCGTTCTGGGCGGTTTTCCGGTTCACCCTACGGCACATGGCGTAGGCCTTGTTGGGGGCGGAGCACACAACGTGGACGCCTTGTCGGCCGGCGATCTTCTTTAATCGATGAGTAATGCCGTGAACATACGGGACCACTGCGAAAGGCGTTGGGGGCTTCTTTTGAGTTGTTTGATTCTTCTCAGGATTTTGACGTACTTGCCTACAAAGCTTTTCACATACCGGTACGAGGAGGGTACTCGAGTACCCAGAATCCTGGAGTCGACCCAGCTGTCCTTGAAAGCAGCGCCCCACCTTATGAGGGCAGGACTTCTGTAGCGCCGAGGCTAAAGCTCTGGTGGCCAACCCCCGTTTTACGTTTTTGGAATGTTCCGAGGTACACGGAAGGAACCCCTTACATGAACGGGGTTCATAACTCCAGCACACGTGGGAAGGTTGAAACTCCAATGAGAGGTCTAAAAACCGTATGGAATTGTTGACGGGAAGTTCATGGGTAAAAGCCAATCCGTGGCAGCTATGTTCGAAGCTGCGCATGACCACGTCTAAGCACCCGTTACTCTCCTCATCTGCATCAGAGTTGCTTAGTATGAGGAAGTCGTCAACATACCGAAAGATGGCCTCGATGCGTTGATCCTTTAACTGGTGTTGAATGTTCCTCCCGCACGCTGCTAGGAATAAATCGCTCAAGTAGGGGGCCACTCGAGACCCGATGCACACACCGCTTCTTTGTAAAAATAGCTGATCCTGGTGTGACACCACCGTTGCAGAAAGATATGCTGTCAGGAGCTCCAAGAAGCTGTCAAGGTTCATCCCTGTTGAATTTTGAAACCCTTGAAGACCCTGCTCCTCTATGGTTTCTCGGAGGACCTTGAGGAGAGCCGCATGGGGAATGGAATAGTAGAGGTCTTGGATGTCCAAGGAAAAACCTGATACAATATCAGAACCCCTCTCCTGAAGAAGGCGAATCACTGCCTCGGAGTTTGGTATCCGGAAAGGATCCTTTACTTCAACTTGTGATAGGTTTTTTGCCAACCAAAGTGAAACTTGCCCTTGCCAGGTGTGTTGCTCTGAGACAATGGCACGAAAAGGGACCCCTTCTTTATGTGTCTTTGCCGAGAAGAACACACTTAGGTCCCCTCGTTGGGCTCCTCTGATTTTTGTCACTAGCCCACGGCTTTGTTCTTTTTCGAGTATCTTGAGTATGGCTCGTTTTGCTGGTTTGACTTGAACTTGAATCACTTGTTTGAAGTTCTTGGCTAAAGTTTTTGTTGCTCTGTCTCCGGCTCAGCTACAGGCCATCACCATTTCTGAAGAGGTAGAGATTTAGCGTCTCTAGCTTGGCTAACTTCGTCGTCCTCCCTTTATTGTAATAACTATGGTTTGAGGCTACGAGAGAAGGTTAGCGCAGCGGCCGACAGATGGCCTGCCAATTTGAATAAGGTTGAATAAGGTATATATTGCTTCACGATGCTATTCTTTGAATTGCTGCAACGCTCTCTAGAAAACAGTTTTCCCGGTGACTATATTGTTATTTGCCAACGCAAATGTGTGTATCAGCCTGGCCCTAAGCCATATACGTAAGTGACATCCGGATTCAAACGCCAGGGAGGCCTGTGTCAAGCACGTGAGCGAGCGTGCTTGCGCAGCGTTATGGTCATTGTTGCTGTGCCAAACATCATGATGGAATAACTGAGCGAGGGGCAGCCGCGACGCTCGCAGGACTGTGCGGCGGTCGGACCGCGAAGGTTGCTGTGGCCCGATGGCGAGCCATTGAACAAGCACAATGGCCAAGAAGTCTTCGGCCGGGCGTTCGGCTCCCGCCCTCCCACCCAAGGGTACGGGGGCCGCCCTGGGAAAAGGGGCCGCACGGGGAAGAGGGGCCGCGTCTCCTGGCAGGGGCGCCGCCTCATCTGGCAGAGGCAGGGGCAGGGGAATGGACCAGGACAAACTTACCGATCGCTTGGCACCGCCTAAGGAGAAAGACATCGAGCGCAGTAGGCTCCGGGACATCATGGACAAGAAGGTAGTGGTATGGGACCACATGATGAACACTGAGGTGGAAGACGAGCGTAAGGCAGGACTCGAAGCGTTCAAGCGCCTCGGCGACGACGAAATGGCGATGGCAAAACGCAACTTGTCCAAAAGTAAGCTAAAGGAGTTGATCGACCTAAAGATACACTATTTCGATCAGCTTGCCAACGCTAGAGAGGAGGAAAACCGAAAGGAGGGGTTGCGGCGTTTCAGGAAGGTCGGCGATGACGAGCTTCATCTGGCCAAAATGATGGGCCCTTCGGATAAGCTAGACGACATTGTGAAAGCGCGTGAAGAGAAGGACAGAGTTAAGAGAATGGAAAGCGCCAGAAAGCAGCAACTTCCCAAGGTAACTGTCAGTATGACCGATCCATACATGACTCCACAGATGCTGGCTAGGCAACAATTGATGCATATAGCCGAGCTCGAGAAAAAAGCCACTGAGAACATAGCCCAGACCGCTCACGGGATACCCATGCAACCTCAGCAGGAAACGACAGCGCAACAGCAGCAACAAATGATGGCGCAAGCCATGATGCCTCCGCCCATGCCACCTATGCCTCCTTCGATACTTCCTCCTCCCGGATTTTACCCACCAAATTTCAGCCAGTTTCAGACCATCATGCCTGGTCCGGCCATGTACGGCAATATGCTCCCACAGTTTTCTCAATACGCAGAGCTTCAGCCACAAACCCCCAACACAGCTGTCGCGTTAGACATGGAAAACAAGCTTCGCCTGCTTTCACAGCTCGAAGCGACTCGACAAGCAATACAATCGCAACCCGTAGGGCCCCGCACGAGTATAGCCGATGAAATCAAGCAAAACCTACGGAGGTTAAACAACCTCAAGATGAAACTGATCGACGAGATTCTCGGCGGGAAGCCTGCGGAAGCTCAATTTGACATCATGAACTTTCCTCCGAAACAAATGACAGCAAAATCCAGGAAAGATCGCAAGATCGTCGTTGAGCTCGTGGGGCCTGGCGGCCCGGACTACGAGCCCGTCACAGCCAGGTCTGAACCACCTGCTGGCATGCGCTGGAACAAGCAGCCACAGCCGGATGACAGATATTCGGTAACCGCCCAATCAGACACGTATATTGACGCTGTGCCTCAACCTGTCTGCCCCACGCATACCTGTCCCGCATACCAGCATTGTCTTGCTCACTCTGGTCGACAAACACCGTCAGAAACTTGCTTAGATCAGCTACAAATGGTGTTCAAGCGACCACCATCTGACAATTTAAAGCCGGAGGTAATTTGGGAAAGACCAGAAGTAAAAATGTACGTCGAGAAGTCCACGATGATCGACCATGCCGACGCGCTAAAATATATAAATGCGGACCAGCCAGTTGTGAGGGAAGTCTACAAAAGGTCCCTCACTGAAATAGGAACATCACCACCCGGATTCCAAATGATGCAACCGAACTACGTGACTCTCCTACCAATGTCAATTTTAGGCGAGCGACAAGCTTATGGGGAAACCCGGATGAGACCGCAACATGACATTGGAATTATAGCGAATCCTTACGAAGATGACCCTAGATTCGCATCTCGAGGCACTACGCTGCCGTCCAGGACCGGACCTGTCATCTCAAAAACCACTGTCGTGGTCAACCAGCCACCGAAAGAACCCACTACCCAGCCCAAGCCAGCCCCACAAATAAAAGTTGTAACGATACCAGAAACGGTACAAATGGCAGCTCCAGTTCGGACCTCAAGCGTGAGTGACGGAAATAGGGCCATCCATGAAAGCATCGAAAGACTAGCTCGTTCTGTAGACGACATGTTTGACACCTTGACCTCCAGAACACGATCTCAAAGCCGGACGAGGCGAAGACCGAGGACTTTCGACGACGATGACGACGACGAGTACGAAGACTACGAGTCCAGGCAAACACCGCGGTATGGACGGCGCCGGCGTAGTTCACGGAGGCGGTCTAGAGACGGCGGCGATGGCTACGACGAAGACGACCTGGATGGCTGGGACGACATATCATACAAGGTTCGGAGTCCTAGAAGCGGCTACAGTCGACCGAGAAGTCGAATGAGGACATCCGACGAAGATGACCTACCTTCGCTTTGGGAATGGCTGTGTAGGAGCTTGTGCAACCTCACCGACGTCCCCCGTAGCCGTTCAGACGTAAGAGACACCCGGTTCATGCAGATGGGATCAAGGATCGGAACCTTGATCGAAAGCGTCATCAGGGTTTCTCGAGAAGTGATCGAAGCCCGCCGGGCTATCCAGCAGAGCGGGCTCAGAGGAGAAGATTACGTGAATGGCATCTTCCAGGCCGAGAACAAGTTGTGGGAACTCATCGATCTTGAAGCCCAGCTGGCAAACGAGCTTGCCTACTATCGGCAGTCGGACCTCGCCTCCGACAACCCATACTTTCAAGGTCTGGTACAAGCGGAGAACAAGATACGGCGACTCATCGCGGTCGAGACACAGTTGGCGCGCGAGATCGGATCCTGGCGTAAGCAGTCGGCCGCGCAAAACAGGCCACAGTCAAAGTCTACCATCTACACGACTCTGTCTAGGCTTCCATCACTGCCGTGTTTTCCCGCCTTACCGGCGGGATTGAGGCCCTCGACAACCGCGTACGGGTCGACTCTGCCAGCCACCACTTCCGTGAGCACAGTAACGTCGCCTTCAACCACGTCTCAGTCGACGACTCCGACGGCGTCTGCGACGACGGCGGCAGGGGGCAGCGGCTCAACGACGCCTTCGACCACCACGAAGGAAAGCAAAAAGCCGAAGAAAAAAAAAAAGTCGAAGAAAAAGAAAAGCAAGTCTAAAAAGAGCGGTTCCAAAAAGAAGAAAAAGAAATCGTCCAAGTCGAGTAAAAAGAAGCGCAAGAAGGTAAAATCCAAGTCTGGCAAGAGCAAAAAGAAGAAGAAGCGGAAGAAAAAGAAAAAGAAATGACTTTTTTCCCTCCCTCGGACTGCATGTCATGGCCGGTTCGAAATCCCGTTGTACTGCGCCTTCGTCAGTGTCGACGTAATCGCTGTATAGCTCAGCGCTCGTCTTTCGAGACTGACCCGTGAACTAGCGCCACTCCCGTTCGGGTCTCCGTGCACCAGGAACTACGAACAAAATAGCAAATTTTTATGCAACCATAATAGTCAAATTCAACAAGTATACACATATATATATATTTTTTTTTTTGCACGTGATCTGTTTTTATTTGGGTACGTCCAAGGTCTTCTATACAAGGCGTTGCGTGGTACCGGCGAAAGTGCTACCACCTCCGGGCACAAGTAAAACAAGTTCATCCTATAACCCTGGAACGTGCAGTCGTTATTCTGCGGTGCCGGTTGGAATGCCTACGTGCGACCATGTTTCCTCTACACAAATGCACACGCGCATATAAAGATAGCACTGATATAAGTCCTCAAACTGGTCTGTAAGTGTCCTCGATGCACTTGTCTTTGCGGCGTGCACAACCACAGCGTGTCCCCAAAACAATTTGTTTTGTTTTTACCGCAAAGATAAGCTAGGCTTTGCTGAACGTTTATTCATCCCCCAGCCCAAACGTGACGCTGGCGCTCCGGATCAGATGCCAAAGTTTTCGGAGCTCCATTATCCGGTTCAAAAGTTATGAGCAATATACTGAAGTGTTCAATGGGAACATGGGGCCCGTTCACGGTGGTTGACACCATTCGTCGGCCGCTAATTTCTCACACTGAAACTTTCCGAAAATCCCTTATGGCTTTCGAACCCGACAACAAGCTCCGAGGCTTCGACATCTCGTCCGGACCGGTCCATTTGGGCGAAGGCAGGGTTCGGCACTGCTTACTAGTTGTTTTTAAAGCAAAAAAGAAACGCGGCAACTTTTTTTTTTTCGGTGACACCGTGTACTTATAAAGACCTTTCTTTTTAGATGCAGAAGTTACAAAAACAATAACAACCCGTCGTTCAAACAAAAACAATTAAGTTAAGTTATAATTTTTACGCTACGGACGGTGGTCCACACGCTTCCTTGTGGTTCTTGAGCGCAGCGCAGTACCACTCGAGTTCGCCGAGCATCTTGTTGATGCCCCTCACGAAGTCGTCGTTGAGTGGGGTGCCGTCTTCGGAGAGCGAATTCTGTATCTTGGCGTTGAGGCTGTTGAAAGGCAGGGAGATCATGCCGAGCTCTCCCAGGAAGGCCCGCAGCTGGATCGCCGCAGCAAGACCCGCACCGTTACCTGCGTTTAAGAGTGGACGCCACATTTCGGTTTGGCAGTCATCAACCGCGACCTTCAGTGAGCCTTGAACTAATACCCCGTAGAAGACAAAGGCCGGCGCATTACGTCATCGTTACTGCACCTTCGACCCGCCCCCAAGCGGCAACGCACGGAATCTCGACGGGAGCATAGGGCGGTTTCACCAAACACCTTTTCACATCCGGTGAGTCGCGTTCCGCCATATTTATGAAGAGCTTCCGCCACTTTCCACATTTGTTTGCATGCAGACGATTAGTTATTCACGTCGTTTTTTGTGTTGGTGAGACGCACGGCAATGGTGAATGTCTCCGTCCACGACAAAACATTTGAAGTGTACGACTGCAGGCATATTTGGACAGATATTAGGGACCTTAGCAAACCGTTGCCGTGTTCCGCGAACCACAGTACCGGAGCCTTTGAAGCATGCTTTTAAGCGCGCGCCAGGGGGTACCGTGACAGCGGGGCGCGCGCTTAAAAGCATGCTTCAAAGGCTCCGGTAGTGCGGTACGCCGAACACGGGAACGGTTTGCTAAAACTCACTCCGGAGGCATCATATACGGGGGCCATTCTGGTGTCGATGGGTCGACTACTCGAGCGCCGTCTTGCCGCAAGTACGGATAAAAACCGGCATGCGTTAAACTTCTACCAGACGATGCAGTGTAATGCTCCAAACTATACTTGGGCTGGCACAATGGATCACGTCGGAAAATAACTCGGAATAAATAATAATAATATTGTATTGTAAAAACGTTTATTGTGATGCCGCCTTCTGGCCTCAAGGCCTCAGAGTAGGCGGGGGGAAAGGAATATTATTAATAATAATGCGTGTATGTTTATACAGCCGGAGGTTAGGCAACCTCAATGGGCATTTGGGGTCTCAGCTGTAAATGAGAAATTTAGTCTCTAACGTGCACCACGCAGTAGTGATATCCGCACGCCGGTACGATTGTCATCCAGGTCGAAACGGGCAGGGGTGGGGATTGAACTAAGAATCCCTGGGTACAGCAGCGCGAGCTTTCGCTCCACGTGCGCGGAGCTGGTGTGCGCCACTTTACTAGTGACGACGTCAAAGGAGCCAAGGCGCAGATCTAGGTGGTATAGCGTGAACACGCGCCACAAACACCCGATTACGTTTACAACAACCTCCTATCGGTCAAGCAGTTAACAAACAGTTAATATCTTTTCTTGATGAACATGACATAATAAATGGAAATCAACACGGTTTCCGTGGAGGGTTATCTACAACAACGCAACTAATTGAATGTCACCATGAAATATCCCGTCATGTAAATGATCGTTTACAAGTGGACGCCATTTTTATCGATCTATCAAAAGCGTTTGATCGCGTACCTCATCACAAGTTAATTAATGTACTAATTGTCCTCTGCGTTCCTTCATTATTAATAAAATGAATAAGAGCATACCTTACAAATCGGCAGCAGTTCGTAGACATCGGTGGTACTCCTTCTGATTTGTTAAGTGTATATTCAGGGGTTCCACAAGGTTCTGTGTTGGGGCCATTGCCTTTTCTGATATACCTTAACAGCTTGTTTACTATTAACAGCAACGGGCCAGTAAAAATAAGAATGTTTGCTGATGACTACATAATATACACTCCTATAACCTCCGCGGATGACCAGATTAAACTGAATAACACCTTATCCGATATTGCGGCATGGTGCAGCGAAAATAACATGAAAATCAATACCGGAAAAACTAAATACATGCATATTACAACAAAAAGGAGTGCATTGTGTTTTGATTATGAGCTTGATGCAGTTAAACTTTCCAAAGTTGATAGCTACAAGTACTTGGGCGTGATTATCACGAGTGACCTAAAATGGAACAAACATGTGGACTATATAAAAAACAAGGCAATAAAAACACTCTCGTATCTGCGAAGAAGGCTGTTTAGGACACTTCCTTCGGTTAAGACTTGTGCGTATAAAGCTCAAGTAAGACCGACCTAGAGTACGCATCCGAAGTCTGGGATCCCTGGCACGTCACACTTTCAAGGGAGCTTGAAAACGTACAGTCACTGGCAGTGCGCTCAATCTTTTCTGACTTTAGGAGTACTACATCTGTTACGACGCTGAAACGACAGGCTGGTTTGCAGCCACTAAGAAAGCGAAGAATGTTCCAGCGCCTGAAATTGTTTTTTCAAATATACATCATTATTCGAATTGATAAATCCAAATATGTGAAGCCGAAAAGCTACCGGCTAGATCGCCTGCACCACCAGAAAGTTTTAACCGCCATTGATGCCCAAATACTTTTAAACAGTCATTTTTTGTTCAGGCGGTAGAGTTGTGGAATAAACTTCCTGCTAGTGTCGTTGCACTGGAATCCCTTTCTGAATTCGAGAATGCCATAAGCGTATTGTTTGACCTGTAGGTGTGACCCTTCTTGTGGGTGTACCTGTGAGTGTATATTTTTGGGGTGAGGTTCCCAAAGGTTGATTTTGAAAGCCGTGCTTGAGGTGTATATTTTTGTGGTGCGGATCCTGGAGATTGCTCTGAATGTTGATATTTGAAAGCAGTGTTGTATTTGATTTCCGTGTTAGTATTACCCCCTCCTGCCTTGGCCCTTGAAGGGGCTGGCAGTATTGTGAAATGAATAGATTGCACCGGTCAAACCGTGATTAAAAGAGGCCAGCTCGAAATCGTTGTTGGGGTCTGTATATCACGTGAGAAAATTAATCTTGGTGCAATTATTTTTTTAATAAAAGCATGTAAGCGTAAACGATTTGTCCAATGTCATATCTTGTTAGGGGAAGTCAGTTCGTCTGTCGAAAGTGCCAATCATTCTGTACGTACATTACTACACCTGCAGAACGAAAGCCAAATTTGCGCACCAAATTTATGTCCCTTTCTCCATCAAAACAGCGGATATTCGGCCGGTTTCTTAAAAATTCTGAGCGTACCTCCGCAAACAAATCCTTAAAAAAAAATCGTTGTGTTGAAATGTTGCAATTGTCAGAGCAGATGAGACTCGTGTAGTAGACGAACCGTTCCGAGGCCTTAGGCTGGGCACTCGGCGAGAAAGTCGGCGCGAGTTCTGACCCTCTGCGACTGTCCAGCGCCACGGCCAAGCTCGGCGTTGGCCAGTCGCAGTGGTCAGGACTCGCGTGGACATACTCGTCGAGTGTCCAGCTTAGGGCTCAAGGTATTGGGCATAAGATCGAACTATGGGAGCGCTTTATCGAGCTTGTTGTGGGCTTTACTTGTTGTCCCTACAGCCCGGCGTTTACTAACACAGCATAACAAAGAAGGTGACCCTCGCCTAGCACGGTCTGGGCACGAGCAGTGCTTTGGACGCTCGAGGAGCGGTCTTCGAATCGTCATCTTCGATTTCTCGGATCGACAACAAACAAGAAAATTTGGTTTGTTGTCCACACAGCTGAAGCATGCCACTAGAGGCGTGGCCTGTTCGATCTCCTCCCCAATAGAAAACGCAGCTATACTTCGTTTCACCTTATGCCGCAGCGAAGGCTAGAAGCGCGAGCTCATAGCGTTGGCAGCTGCTATTAATGAACGAGAGCTTGTGCCGTCGAGATGTGCCCCAGAGCAAGGAGCTCGCGCTTGTAGCCTTTCCTGCGGTACATCATAAGGTGAAGCAGAGTATTAGCGATGTGCGCGACCAAAAGCGGTCGCTGCGGTCAGCTTTCCACGATTGGCCAAACCATGGGCATATGAGCATTGTCAGATTGTCAACTTTGACGGTGTTAGTTTCGGGTTGCGATGGCTCTTAGCTTCCACTGGGCTTTTTAAACACACCATCCAACTCGTCGTCTCACCTGATGGTAAGTAGCCGGGATAACAACTGGTGACGTCACGGCGAGGCAAATCTCAGTCGTGACGTCACGGATGGAAAGCATAAGAGGGCGCCACCGAAACATCTCGGCGCTAATAGCCATACTGCGACTGAGAGCGTGCTGAACGGCCTTAAAGCTGGCCTCTGCAAACACGCGGAAGCCAAGGGAGAAGCAACCTTGCGGGCGGATTGCGACTGTCTATGGCGCTGTATGACCCATAAATCTCGCTCATCGGTGTTAGTGGTGTCGTTGCAAACCTTATTTGTAGGGGTGTGTGAATATTCGAAATTTCGAATACGGATACAATATTTTCCTCATTCGAAACGTATTCGACTCGAAAATCGCATATTCCGATGTTCCCGAATACTCGGCCAAAGCCGAATATTCGGGAGAAGCGGCGAATATGCGCAGAAACTGGGAATATATTGGACCAAGTAACGGATAATCTGCGTGCCACGCATTCCCCTATGAATGTTTATTCACTAAGAAAGGCTTATGAGGCGTGCGTTATTGGTCTTCTCCATTTCTATCGGTCCGAGGGCAGCAAAACAGGATCAGTTTCGGTATTTTTCTTTCACCAAGCCCTTTATTGTGTGGCACTTTTATAGCAATATGTGATGGAATTGCGCGTTCTATAAATTGACGCAATAAAACTCGAGAGCGAAATATAAATATACAATAAATCTCGAGTTTGTTAGCTACTATAAATGTTTAAAATTAAAAAAAAAAGCAAAAAGCTAGTTGCGAACAGAACATTGCTTCGACATCGACAACAACAACTCCTGCCACTCCCGCGCATTCAAAACTAGGGATGTCGCGAACCTGCCCAGGTTCGAGTGCGACCAAGTTCGACGTTTTCGAACTTTCAACGTGATTTTGAACAAAGGTTCAACTGAAGCTCGACTTTTGTGCGTATGCGCGAAAATTAAAAAAAAAAAAAAGCTATTTGACTCCACCTGGCGGAAGCAAAATGTACTATTTATTGGGGTCAAATGCATCACTGGTTCACATTAACTAATGAAAGCGCTAAAAACGCATATTTTCGCTTTAATAAGGTGTAAACATTGGTAACCATTTCATAAAATATAAAATAAACTACTTTCTAAATATTTTGTTTCCCAAATTCGAAATATTCGTGTAGCAGCCGGACAACACTGTCCATTAGTCGAACTTCTTCAAACTTTAGTGAAATTTCGCAGTTTTTGCGAGTGAAAGGATCTTTCTACTGGCGGAAATGTCACGGCGCGGACGGAGCGCTTACTTTCTGAACACGTTGAACAGTTAATTTTCCTACACGATAATATGTAATGAGTGCATTACTAAAAGTATCTTTAGCCTGCTGCAGCCTAGTAAAATGCAGTTGCATTGATTTATTTTAAAAAGGCAATAAAACCTGCTGTTACTTCTCGTTTTGTCATTTCGGTTTACTAGACACATATTTGATATTCGAATCGATATTCAAAGCCCGTTTATTTGTCTTATTCAATTCGTATAAAAAAATGCAATATTCGCACACCCCTTCCTATTTTTTATCGACGATGACTAACTGCGATACCCCGGCGCCATGTTTATGCTGCTATTTCCTTTTTCTTTTTTGTTTTTTATCTAAAAAAAATGAAGGACGTTTACAAAACCCTGTAACGCCGAATTAGAGCGCAGCTCTTGAAGAGGAGGAGGGAAGGGTACTGAGGGGAAAGTATGCCCTTCCTTCCCCCTACTACTCCTCCTCCCCTCCTTTACGTCCTCCTCCCCTCATCCTTGAAGCTCCTCCCCTCCCCTCCTCCTTCAAGCTCCTCCCATTATCCAAAAGACGACTGTCTTTTGGATAATGTAAAAGCGGTGGGACCGCGGCTCAAGCCTAGCTTATTGAGTGAACGGCCCGCGATGACCGAGCGCTCCGAAGGCTCGTCGCGGAACTGTCCAGCGTGCAGGTGAGCAACCCACCGATGCTGTAGGCGACGACTCCGCAGGGCTTGTGGCGGTACGAGTCCGGCGGAAAGTGGTCCATGGCGCTGGCCAGGGCGGGGGCGATGCAGCGGTTGTACTCGGGGCAGAGCACCACGTAGGCGTCGGCCGCCTTCACGTGCTCGTGCATTGCCACCAGCCACTGAGGGGGCTTCTCGTCCGGGCCGTGAAAGTGCAGCGGCTTGCGCACCTGCAGCAGGTTCTGCTCCTCCTCCGGATCTGCGACAGTGGGTCACGCACCGGCAAGTTTCTGTTAGCAACCAGATTGAACATAAAAAAAAACACATAATGTCCAGCTTAAAAAAAAAAAATTATTAGGTGGCGCAAGTCGCCGCCTCATTAAAGGGAAACAGCTGTCCATCCTTACGTAGCGTGCCTAGATTTCGGAGTGTTTCCAACTCATGGAGGTACGAAGCTTCTGGAGGCGACATGACGCCACCAGAGGTGAAGCCGGGGAGATTTCCGGTTGGAAGAGGTGCGCCAACAACGATGACCAGAACCAAAAGACGCTACTGGACAAACTTGGGCACCCTCGGGGGACTATGCAAGACGGCAAGACAAAGAGACCGGAACGTCACCACCCGCTGCGATGCTCCGGTTCCTTCGTCCCGCCATCTTGCATAGCCCCCCTGGACGCTACTAGACGGACTTGGGCACCCTTAGGGGCGTTCTTACGGACCGCGACCTGTGCTTGCGGCTTCACTTGGGAAGTTCTCGTTTGGCAGGCTAGAGCCGCTATGTCGCCTCCTCTTATTCCTACCTCCATATTCAAACTGCTCAATCGGGGTCAAGTGGTTTGTGGGCCGCGTTTGCAATAGACCAGCGTACGAAATCCTAGCACCCAGCAAGAAAAATTGGAAATAATATTCTCAGACACGGGCCCTTGTAAAAAAAAAAAAAAAACTGCGTATAATTTTTTTTTTTTTTTTTCATTTTACATTACTTTTGCCATCGGTGTTCTTTGAGATTCGTGACGATATAAGCTCTTCTGGCGTCCAGAACGCCTAAAAAGCTGTTCTTGCACTACAACATGTGCAAACGGTTCTAAAAAAAAAAAAATGACTTTTTTTTTAAAGCGCTTTTTCCCTTCGCGCCCTACTCTATTAGGGCGCTAGCATAAACAAACATGGCGGCCACCATGGAACAGAGCAGACACTGGGATATACAAGATGCGACGGGGAGGCGGCGTAAGCGACTGCAAACGTCCTTGTCCCCAGCTACCCCCTCTACCCTCGTCGCTACTGGACATCGCATGCAAGCGCACACGCGCCCAATATGCGCCGAAGGTGTCCGTCATCTAATTATTTTAGATGCAAGTTCCCTATGTTTACCTAGAGAGCCCGAATTTAAGAGAAGGGGCGACTCAAACCATGAAGAGCGTTTGCAACTTACTAGCGAACGTCTTCTGGGCGGATTGGTCGCCAGTGCGGATCCGTTGCGCTGGCAGAAAGGTTGCAACGCTCGTAGTCGACCAACAACCTCGTCACCTCCTCACCGCTCGTATTGCAAACGCGGCCCATAGATCACGTGACCTTGACCGGCCAGTTCGAAACGCTATGAAATTCAGGCACACTATATTGCGGAGTGGTTAGCACACCCGCCCGGAGAGTGGAAGGCCCAGGGTTCGAATCCTCCGAAAATTTTTACTTTCGGTGGTTTCGTAAAATATATATACAAGAGGTAGGGACATTGTTCGCACCTCCACCAACCTAAGGTTGAAGCATGGGCTAGCTGGTATGACATCTTCGTGTGCGCTATTGTAACATTTTAAAGATGTCCACCAACCTGTAAGCTTTTAGAAGGACTGATTTATTTTTGAATTAACATTGATAGTTGGCTGAACGATGGCGGTCTAAGAACTGACTTCTTCCTCCACTTTTTCCTTCACAAGTTTTGGCCTGACTCAGGCCGAAACGTGTGCGTCACTACATTGTACATTTCCTAAAATTGGTGTATTCGAGGTAAAAAGAATTTTCTCGGGACCGCTTTATAATGCGTCAGGAAATTCGCGATACTTATTAATTAGTTCGCCAATTATTTAAAATGACGAATTACATTTTTAATTAGTTAAATTAGACAGTTACAAATAAAAACTTGCTGAGCGTCATCGAAAACCACTAAATCAGTGCTTATCAGGAAAACTGAGTGCGTGAGAAGCGTAGTAGTGCGCTAAAGTTACCACTCGTGAAGCAGGTACAAGGCTAGCGGTTGCGATAAAGCCGCTCGCGCTATTTATTCCTCTCTTATCAGAGCCACAGCCTAGTACCTGCAACGGAACCGCTGTAACTAAAATGAATTATGTGCTACTAGAACGTGCTAATCGGGGGCACCAACTTAGGCGATAAGGTTGGGGTTCCCACAACTGTGACGCGCTGTGCACATGACCAGCTCGCAGCATAACAGCATTGCATTGTGCAATCAACACATTTGTTCACGTGCGCGCACTATCCCTCCAACCAAGCACGCAGAGAAGCATATGCAGGCCGTAAAATACAGTGAAAATAAATTCTGAAGAGGTCTTTTGTCGTCCGTATTCAGGTTATATTCGGAACCATTCTTCCGTCCTCTTATCGCCACTTATCTTTAAACTATTACTTTGGAATGTTTAGCCTCTCTCACCCCTTCTGTAAAAAATACAGTAAAACATGTCGGCGGGCGCGACAAGTTCCTGGAGTGTTAAAAAAAAGAAAAAAAGAATATCTCAAATGTAAAAAGAAAAAAAAGTGTTTCCGACATTGACGGATTCGTTTCTCTCGGTGGTAAACAACAGTTGTTTCCGAGAACGATGTCACCCGCCCTCACTGTCCACTGCATGCAACAATCCAAAATATTTTCAGAACTGGCTAGCCATACAGACTATTCCGATAATCGCCTCTTATGCGCTAGCCATTTTTGTCTACGCATGGGTTATGGAACGCATCCTGCAAATGCGCAATAACTTTCTGCTGCGAAACATCAGACGCTACTCGTCACTGCATTTTTTTGCTCGGGTGGTAATCTTTGGAAAGCTATATATAAAAAGCATTAGGAAGCAATGGTAGTTCGCTGTCGGCCGTTGGTGCAAAACTCTTGCTGGGGGATATCATCTATAACTCTTTCACGGCGTGCGTTCCACACCCATTGAGACGGTTGTTGTTGGCAGAAAATATATAAGCGGCAGCTCGGTCTGGGCGTGCGCAGTGAGTACCGCTCAGATATGGCGTCCATAAGACGGCACGCAGACGAGTCGCCTGCGAACCGCGTGAACGTACCGATGATGGTAACCAGGTGTCCTCTCTTCTGCAGCTGCCCGCTGACGTAGGTCTTGAGGCGTTCGGCCATCCGGGCGACACGACAACTGCCCACGAACAGGACCACTTTGGCGGGAGGCATGGCGACGTCCACTCGACGGCGGCAGCAGGACAGCAGGGGAGCCACTCTTCACTCGCGCTGCTCACAGCTGGTCTGAACACGGCCTGCCAAAAACGGTTGACGTCGACCTCTTATCGAGGGCTCCGCGGAATAATCTCGGAACCCGAGTCAATGAATTACGACAATAGCTATGTCACGGGAACAGACAGTCAGCAAATTCCCCTTTCATTTATGACAAAAACATAGCAAACTCTCCTTTCAGTCATGACAAAAACAATATTGTACCAATCACTTGATTCTGCAGCTTTAAGCCTATTGGCAAACACTTTTTTGTGCTACTCAAGATACTTGAGGGCCTCGCCATCAAATACACGTTGCTTGCAACTGTTTTTTTTTTTTTTTCTGTTCCTTTTTTTTTTTTTTGTGATTGAGCGTTATAAACGAACCATGAGCGAGCATATTTGTGAAAAATCACTTGATGGGCATGATCAGCAAAAGAATCCGTTTCTGTTTTGTTCGCTGGCAAAAGTTCAGTGTTTGTAGAGTTTGTGAGGCTAGGCGACACTGGATTATTGGCACGTTGGCGAGCAGGGTTAGTTGGGCGTCCTTCTAATGATGAACGATGATCCAGTTCACAGAAAAACAACTAAACATTCATGACATTGAAGGGTGACTCAATCGTGATTGTTATCTATCAGACCCTCCAGTGGCGGACACAAGTCTGGACGAAAGATTTGTGGCGGAAATTTACAACTAAAAGAGGGCTACTGGTGGAATACTCCTAAAGAACAAAAAAAACTTTCCTGCGATTGGAGATTTACAATAAATGAAGCATGCTAGTCCTGGAATAAGTAATAAGAGTATATAGGTGACTTCTTTGTATTGTTTTCATTATTAGAAGAAATAAACGAAAAGGGATTTATACAACAGGCAGAGCCGGCACTATAGGGCTGGATGACCTGGCCCGTCGCCCAGGGCGCCATCAAAAGGCGGCCGCCGCGCCCCCCCATTTTGAATTTTCTTTTGCTTTTTTTTATTTATTTGAACACGGTTCCCGACATGGACGCTATCAGTGCACACCATTCCAATATTTGCAAGTCCTCAGAACAGCGCACGATCTCCTCAGCCGAGCAAGCACATGTTCGTCGCTTCGGAAAGCTGTGCCACTATACTAACATGTTTACTAGCAACGTGGTATCCTACGTAGTAGATAGGGGCGTGGAGAAAAGAGGGGGAGGGGGGGGGGGTGCCAAGGCCGGAGTTCGTGCAGGGTACTTGATGGTGTAGGGCCAGCCCTGACAACAGGCATGCACGTACCGGTTCTTTGTAGTGATCTCCCCTAGGCGCAGAGTTGCACGCTATCACCGCTGCTACATTTAGCTGTTCCTTCAACCGCAGACATAAAATAAGGACCTGTAGGTCCGCCTAAACTAGACTGGTACCATTTTCAGTTAATTTCCGATCGGCGCGATGCAGTTATGACTTAAAAACCAAACCAACATACCAGCAGTAAAAGAAAAAAAAAAGTAATTTTTATATTTATTTTAGTCTTTATATTTTGTCGGGGGTTTCCTGTATGAACACTTGCGTTCCGTCTGGGAGCCACCTGCGTGCCGTGTAAAGTTCATAACGGGACTGAATCTGACGCCTCAAAGTATCTTTCAACCCACGGCCCGTCACATGGATGACAATAGCGACTGCCAGCCCTTCTTCCCGTCAACTTTCACTGATTTGCTTCCGCCAACTTCGCACAACAGATCCACGACGATTCTGGCACCTTTAAGCAGATCAGCTCAATGTCGGCGTTTGTATTCACTCCGGGTGGCCGAGCAAATTAAATCAAAATACAAGTTTGCGAGATAGGTGTCTGCATAAATCCTTACGAGGTTTAACTAGCACCTACTGTTTCGCACATGGGCAACGCTTCGTGTCCTGCGCATTCTCCGAATGGCAAGTATTCCCTCTCAACCCCCCGCAAACCTGAAAGGCCCACGCGACTTTCAAGCTTCAAGATGCCGCGACCCTCGGAACATATTGTAACGACTGCATCCTCAAATTTCACCCCTGTGTTCTAGCGCAATCGAGAAACCAAAGATTACAGCTACGGCGAGACACTTAACCGGTGCACATAAGTGGGAGAAAACGTTTAAATCTCCGGAGTGCAGTGTGTGGTACGTGCTTCTGCGCTTCGCAGTGCTTACCTTCAATTCCCAAAACACTGGAGCTCTTCGAAACTAGACGGTTATTCTTGAGGGCTTTCTTAATTGCTAGGGCCGAAACAACTTGAATAATGCGTCATTTATAACTGCTAAAAGAAAAAAATCTTGTATTCTCGATCGGACTGTGCCGAGATATACTTCTTACCTACGCCGTGCTTACCTGCAATCTGAAAGGTCTCCGAAATAATCGTCGTGAAAGGCTTCGTCAATACTATCGTGTGATGTTTTTTTGGTATAATTGTTGTCGTTATTTCTCGCGGAGGGTCCCGCGTTAAGTTCGAGCGCCCACTCCGACAGCGTGTCACGCGTCGTCTGTACGTGAAGCACGCGGCAACAGCGAAGCCCTCGCTGACGAATGCAAGAGCCCCGCCCACAAACAACGACCGTTATTGAACGAACACAGACTGGCACAGACGGATCGAATCCAAGCAATCCAAACGGGGCTTCTCTGCACAGTTGCCGTGTACAAGGTCAGGACCCTCCCACTCGCGACTTGGCGCACATGCCCTAAATATCGCTTGTTTTGATTTAATCAGCTTTCCGGGAACATGTTTCACCGCGATCGAAACACAACGGTCCGCAGGTTCTTCAACGCATGGCGCTGGTTTTTTCGTGGTGTGGCAACTACGAAACCGTTGCCTCATCAGCGAGTTTCTTAAAAGTTGTGAAACGTCAGCTGGTTCTAGGAAACCGTTACTCGACGGCATCGTTCGACCGCCAACTAGAGAGCATCTTGGCGAATTCTGCCAGATAGGCGGAATTATTGCCGACATAGCTAGCCGGCATTGCTTTCGGCTTCTGCCATATAGGCGACATTATTGACGACTTCTGTCAAATAGAACAAAGTTGCAAATCTGTCAAGGCATTTAAACATGATGAAAAACAGCTTCAGATAACAGCCACAAAAATTGAGTCAGGTATGCGCGGGGGTTAGTGCAGGCGCGGAAAAACGGCCGCAAACAAAGTGCACAAAGAAGCACAAAACACCGTTTGTGACATGTACAACGAGTGTCGTCTACCGAATACCCCTATCTTGTGGAAGATCCTATGTCGGTCGGACAGGAAGGTGTTTGAACGGCAGGCTGAGAGAGCACGCGTATTCCCTTAAAACAACGGTAGGGGACTTCTACTGCTACATCGCAGAGATAGCTCTTGTCTCCCCTCTTTTGATGACGTAGCTGTTGTGGGCAAACACCGGGAGAAAATGACTCGAGAGATAATTGAAGCGTTCCTTATATATTCGATGGCAGACAGATGTGTCAGTGAGCCATCGGTGGCGTTATCTGAGAGGGAGGTACTTTATCTGCAGTCGAACATGAGTGTGAAGTTTTGAGGCGATGTATCTGCCCATCTGGTCGCCTGGTGGGCGTGTGTTTTTAATCTGTTTAACAAGTTTCTTTGATTCACTTTTCTTTCGATAAACTTCACTCGCGAGTCAGCCGTTGTCCTGTCGTATTCTTTACCCGTTCTTCTTTCCTGTTTATCTGAAGCTGTTTTTCATCATGTTTAACTGTTACCAACTGGCCCAAATCGCCACCCTATTCTCTCAAGGCATCATTCCGGTCCAGGGAAAATGGTGATCATGTCCAAATCAGCTCCAGAGTAAAAAACAATAAAAAAAATAGCGGTTCATACCGGTTTGAAGCGGTCCGTATCCGCATGCTAATAACAGAACTGAAAAAAAGTATAAAAAAACTATAATTTAATCGAAATGTTGAAAATGAAAATGGCGAAGCTGAAATCTGTTCATAAATTCTGGGGTACAAAAGCAATAGCCTGTTGTGGGTTTGCCTCTCAGTCAAAAAAATATATAAATTCTAGCGCAGAGAAGGCTTTTTACACGCTGACTATAGGCTCCAAGGAACCCCAATGGCTTCTTGTGCCGATTCGTGAAGTTCTGAATGGCGTTGCCAACTCTCCTGCAAGCGCGGCTTTTATGCACGATTCAGTTGGTCAATGTTAAACTCTAATTCTAGATGAAGCATCCTCGCCTATTTCAAACGAAGGTAACAATTAGCGTTGCATTGTCTGTAAATGCGAGTGGACGCCTAAATGCTCGACGAACAGAGCAAGGTTTCCATGCACAAATGCTTGCGTAAAAATTCTAAAAAACACTTCGGTTTTTCTTTGTTTCGTTTTTTGTCATTGAGCTGAGTTACTTGAAAACGCAAAAAAAAAAAAAAAAAAAAAAAATGAAGGGCCATGAAATGATTATTTTAAGTTCTTCCTACTTAGCTTTAATCCTCAGCTCAAAAGCGAAATGCTAGAATTCACGTGGTCGTGACGTGCTTGGGCACTGGAGGTGATGAGTCCTAGCTCCCATCGTCCTTTCTGAGCCCATCATGAAACTTGTCATTCGCAAGCGACGATAAGTGCCGGCAAGGCACTCATTGACCCCGAAAGCGAATTCCAATATTCGTCGGCGGATTGATTGTTGACGAGCGCATACGTCCGAGTGACGCAGTGCTCGTGTCCAAAGCCTGAGCGGGGGTAGGCTAACGTGCTTTGGGTACCGCGGTTGTGTCAGAGTAAAAAGGGGGGAAACTTTCGAAGAAAAGGAGGTACGAAATGGTCCGCTATATTTTCGAATTTTCGTACCGACAAAGGCTTTTTACTCTCTACCCTTTTTCTTTGTGGCCCACTAAATGATATGCGATTGGTAAGATTCCAATCTAAAATTATTTATCCCAGCCCAAGATTAATTCCGGTCGGCGCGATGTAATTATGACTTAAAAACCAACAAACATATGCAAGCAGCAAAGTAATAAAAAAGAAATTTTGTTTTAATTTTTAGAATATATGCCCCTTTAAAGAATGTACGCAAGTTACGCCGTTTTTCGCAACGTACGTTCCACATTCCCAATTTTTCGCCTTGAACCGAAAAT